ATTTAATAATAACATTCAAGGTAAGACTCAACAGGTGAAGGCACCCATCTTTCTCACTACTCATTTTGATTCTGCTGTTAGTTGATTTGTGTCAAGTGCCAGGTCAGGACCTGGCACAAAACAGGGGTTAAGCCAGTGTGTGTTAAATACATATATATGCGGTATGTTTACAGTGGCCCGGAGGCTGAAGACAAAACAGAATGGACTGGACACTAGTTGTTCCTTCCCCTCTGGACATCAGAGCTTACAGTAGCCATCAAGTATCACTGCTCCTTGTCCCCTCAGCAGCCTAGGCCTTGCCTTTGCTCACACTGTTCCCTTTCCTTAAAACTGTGGTCGACAAACTGCGGCTTGCGAGCCACATGCGGCTCTTTGGGGCCCCTTGAGTGTGGCTCTTCCACAAAATACCATGGCCCAAGCGAGTCTGTTTTGAAGAAGTGGCGTTGGAAGAAGTTTAAGTTTAAAAAGTTTGGCTCTCAAAAGAAATTGCAATCGTTGTACTGTTGATATTTGGCTCTGCTGACTCATGAGTTTGCCGACCACTGCCTTAGAACACCTTGTGAGGGTCTGGAATTTACACTGCTTACCAGCTTGATACGCTGGTCTGCTATTGTTTTATAAATGCTGACAGAAGATACAAGATTGCTGGCCAAAGACAAGGGACCCGCCACCTTGGCATAGCAAGCAGCATGAGCATCATTGTTCCCTCTCTTTCCCTCGTTCCCAAATTTCATGGGAGAAACACAGAGCGGTGCAAGTGAATGTTACACTTCCAGGGGGGCATTGCATCATAGCTGAGGCGTACCACACTCGGTACTCCCACCACTGTCCCCTTCTCCCCAAACCACTTTTCTAGTAAGCAGCAAGCAAGCCTGCTCTTCATTTTGGAGAAATTATTCCCTCATTTCCCAAAGTCGTTGGCCACAAACAACACTGAGAACTGGCTGGAGAGAGAGGCCTCGCATTCTTGGCATACCGGGTGGTGATATCCAGGGATGCTCAGAATCCATGGTAGGCTGCCTCACCCAGTCACACCCATCCCCCATCTCTGCTTGTCAACATTCTGTCCAAGTTCAAATGACACTTCGTTCTTGCAGCTTTCCCCAGCCCTTCCATCACACATACATTCTCCTTCCCCTTTGTACTTTCCATGTAGTTCTCACGTATCCCTCCACTTTGTGCCCATGAGGTCTCTCCCCTTCCAGTAAGGTGCAAACTCTCTGAGGGCAGCTGGTCCTCTTCCTGCATTCTTCAGCCAGACGGTTTGCATCCGCAGGCTCTCGCTTAGGCCCTCTTTGTTGAGCTGGAGGAATCGGGATCTTTGTGCATGGCAGAGAGCTTGCTGAACCACCCCTTGGAATGTCTTCAAGATTCCAGAGGCTAAAAATATCTCCCCAAAACCACGGCATTGACTTCCTTGTAAGGAGTGACTTAGGGATGAGGCTGAAGGTCCAGGCCCACCAGGTGGCGCCCAACCCTCAACTCTTCAGATCTTTTTTTTTTTCTTCTTCTTTTCTTAGAAATGATTCTTCTCTTGACATGTTTACTCAGTTAGCTTCCCCACTCACAGAGAGAGTTTGTCATCAGTCCAGCACCCAGGTTTGGCCCCCGAGTTGTCTGTTCTAGCCCCAGCCCTTCTCAAGCTTGGAGCTCTGAGGGCACTGAGGATGTCCCTCCAAGGGGTTTGCTAAGGGATGCTGAGGGGAAAGCCTTGAAATTGGGGTCAGACAACCTAGGTTTGAGTCCCCACACTCACAGGTTGTGTTTCTTCGGGCAAATCGTGTAACACTTCTGGGTCCCTGTAAAAGCAACTGAGAACAAAATATAGGAGAGTATATAAAAGAACCCAGGCTCCTGTTTAAAGAGTCACCCATCAGCTCTGTGAACTTAGTCCACTTCCTTAGCCTCCCAGCCCTGGTTTCCCCATCAGCAGATGTAACAGTAGTAATTGTATAGGGCTGTTGTAAGAACTAGGTAGAACGGTTAATACAAAGGGCTCATCATAGTGCCTAGTGTGCAGTAGGCATTTTATTTATAGTGATCACATATATATTATTTATCCTTAGCCCAGCACTTACTAAGTACTTAATATCCACTTGCGGAGAGGATTTCACAGATGGGCAAACTGAGGCACAGAGAGGTCCCAGAGCTAGGGAGTGATGAAACAGTCTGCCTCCGGGGCCTCTCCACCACCATGCCTCACGTAGACATGTGTTACACATCACCATCTATTCACTTATCTGTGCACTCAGCCCTGGCCTGTGAGGCTCAGTTGCTTAGAGTGTCATCCTGGATACAACAGGTTGTGGATTTGATCCCTGGTCAGGGCACATTCAAGAAACAACCATTGACTGCATAAATAAGTGGTACAACAAACCTATGTCTCTGTCTCAAATCAATAAATAAAATTTAAAAATAAATAATTAAAATACGCATTCAGATGCTGTGACTGGGTTGGCTCAGTGGATGGAGCATCGATGTTTCTAACTCTATCCCTCTCCCTTCCTCTGTAAAAAAAATCAATAAAAAAATATATATATAGTTAAAAATGCACTCATAGCTTGCTCAGTTCCTATAGGTAGGGCTGTTGGCAGGGAGAGGCATAAAGTCCCTGAGAAGCCACATACTTTTTCTCCCCTAAGGGGAGCCAGGCTGCTGAAAGAGGGACCCACTCAGCCGGGCCAGATGTCCTGGACGCATTCCAGGAGATGAGAGACTAGTTCTGTAGAATAGGATTAGCAGTGATTCTGATGCATGCACAGTCCCCAGGGTAAGAGGGCCTCTCAGGCCCATTACTGTTTCTGCAGCCACTCAGCCATCCACTTCACTGACATCTACTGAGTCTCTTATATGCCAGGCACAGGCAAAGATGGAAAGGCGTGAGAGCAGTGCTTACAATGCAGCCCACTCAGAACCAGTGTGGAGGGATGCTCCACGTGGGGGCTCAGAAGAACCAGCAATCGACAGTTTGGGAGGCTGGACCAAAGGGAGGGCACTTACACTGGGCGCTGAAGGATATGTAGGTGTGAGCCAGGGAAGTAGGGTCTGAGAATGAAGGGAGTTCTGAGCTTATTTGGGAAACTAAGGACGTTGGATGGGGTTGACATGCTGGGTGGGATCATGGGTAAAGAAAGGAAGTGAAAAATCAAGAAATTGGAAGTCAGTTGGGGCGAAATTATGAAATATGCCCACAGAAGAGATAAGCCCTGTCCTGTGGTCTGTGGGGGAAGCAGTGCAATAAACAAGCAGGTCTGTGCTTTAGACCGGGTGTGCCCAGGGTGCATAAAAGGAGAGAGACGAGGGACCAGCTGCAAAGAGCAGCTTTGTGGTCCTAACTCCTCTAGGCTTCGTGTTCCCCTCAGTAAACAAGGAAACCCATTCACGCCCTGTTTCCTCGTCTGTGAGATCCTCTCAGCCAGTGGATACTAAGTACCTATGAAGTGCTGAGCTTGTTTTGAGGCTCACATGAGAATATATGGAAAGCATACTAATAGCAATCATGTGAGGTATCAGTCTCTGCTAATGTTTGCCTAGTAGTTCAGCAAAAACACACTTAGGGTCCAGCTGGCGAGGCTCAGTGGTTGAGCATAGACTTCTGAACCAGGAGGCCATGGTTCAGTTCCTGGTCAGGGCACATGCCCAGGGTGTGGGCTTGATTTCCAGTAGGGGTTGTACAGGAGACAGCCAGTCATTGATGTTTCTATGTTCTCTCCAATCATTGATGTTTCTATATCTCTCTGCCTCTCCCTTCCTCTCTGAAATCAATTAAAAAAAAAGTTGTGTGGGGGTTTTTTTAAGAAAAAAGAAAAAGAAAAAAAAAGCAACATGCAAGCCTCAGCTGGGCTGCTTTGGCTCACTGGGAAGTCAGAGAAAAGGGGCCTTAGAAATAAGTGCCTGGGATGAGCTGCTGCTGCCCACTTCTCCCCTGGTTGCAAGACTCAGAGTTTAGGAGACGGTGCCTGTGAGGGGAAGAGAGGAGGGAAGGAATGGCAGGGGCATACTCCCTTGGGGGAGAGTTTGAGCTGGGTCCTTTACGTTGAGAATAGTGCTCTCTCTTGCAGGTGGAAACTTAGGTGAGATCTTAGGGAAGGGTCTCAAGAGAATACTCATCAGCTTTCCAGGTGTGCTCTTTCAGGGTCCATGGCCTCCACTGATTGGCTGGGGCCAGGGTAGGGGGGCATTAGTCAGTGCAGCTGGTCCTAAGGCTAACAACCTTCACTTGTCTAGTTTTGCTGCTTTTCTGGGCCTGGAGCTGAAATACAACCGAGGCCTAGATGTTATCTTCAGGGAGGAAAAGGCCAGGGGGTCTAAACTGCATGAGCAGCGGTATGCTAGGGCAGGAAAGGTTACACAGGGCACAGGTTCTTGTTTTCCCAGGTCTGCCCCTTGCTAGGCACCCCTGTGCTTTCTGCCCTGGTGACCTTCTGACCCTGGCCCATCTTCCTTGCTCTGCTCCTGTCTAACTGTCTGTAACCACTGGACTTCGCTTTGTGGCGTGTGGGAGGGTCCAGGTGGCCTCCAGTGGGTGATGGTGGTCTCTCTCTCTGACATGGAGAACTCAGAGGGCTGAGACAAAGTCTGAGCCCAGCTTCGGGCAGGATAGGTTTGAGGTAGGCACACTGGTAGGATACCACGGATGACCAGGGGAGAAGAGATGTCCGTTCAGGACCAGCACAGCTCTCCTCCAGCGCCAGGGAAGGGCCGGGAGGCCTCGGTGGGCGCTGACATAGGAGGAGGAAAGAAAGAACACAGCTTTCCCCTCCACGGCTGGACGGGGCCGGGAGGCTGGGCGGCCCAGGCTGGATGTGGCGGAGGGCCCTCGGTGGGCTGCCCAGGATTCCGAGCTGCGAGCCCGGCGGCGCCTGCGGGAAAGGGTGGCCCCAGGGTGGTGAGCGCGGCCCAAAGCGATGGCAGGAAGCCGGGAGGAGCGGCTGGGGGTGGAGACCGGGGAGGAGAAGGGGAAGGGGGGCGGGAGGGGAGGAGAGAGAGAGAGAAAGAAGGAGAGGAGGGCTGAGAGGAGGAGAGAGGGGAGGAAGGGTGGGAGCCGGAGGCAGAGCCGGGACTAGGAGCGAGCGAGCGAGGAGGAGGAGGAGGAGGAGGCCGCGGCGGGCGCAGCGGGTACGTCGGCCGGCCGGGCCCCCCGCGCGAACCAGGCGCCGCCATTCCGCTGCTCGGGGCGCCGCCGCCGCCGCCGCGCTCGGGGGCCATGCTCCCGCCTCCGCCGCCGCGCCAGCCGCCGCCGCCGGCGCGCACGGCCCGCAGCGGGGTGCGGCTGCAGCGGGCCTTCCTGCGCGGGCCGCTGGGCGTGCTGCGGGCGCTGCAGCTGCTGGCCGGCGCCGCCTTCTGGGTCACCATCGCCACCAGCCGCTACCAGGGCCCCGTGCACTTCGCGCTCTTCGTGTCCGTGCTCTTCTGGCTGCTCACCCTGGGCCTCTACTTCCTCACGCTGCTGGGCAAGCACCCGCTCGTGCCCGTGCTGGGCTCGCGCTGGCTCGTGGTCAACGTGGCGCACGACCTGCTGGCGGCCGCGCTCTACGGCGCCGCCACGGCCATCATGATCGACCAGACGCAGCGGCACAGCTACTGCAACCTCAAGAACTACCAGATGCCCTGCGCCTACCGCGCCTTCCTGGCCGCCGCCGTCTGCGGGGGCCTCTGCCTGGGCCTCTACCTGCTCTCGGCGCTCTACGGCTGCTGCCGCCGCTACCAGGGCGAGCAGGAGGTGGCGTGAGGCGCCCCGCGGCGGGGCGGGGGCCCTGAGGATGCCAGCGCCCCAGCCCTTCCCGCCGCCGTGCGCCCTGGCACCTTCCCCGCGCGCCTGGCACCCTCCCCCGCGCCGCGTTCCCGCCGCCGCCGCCGCCCGCGCCCAGGCCCCACGACAACCCGACCCACAGTGCCCGCCAGACGGCAGCTCCCAGGCGCCCGGACACCCCGACCCGCAGTTCTCGCCCGGGCAGGGCCACATCCGTAGGGCGGACGCCAGCCACTCTCCTACCCCTCCCGAGGGCAGAGCCAGCGGTTCCTCTTCCCCTTCCCCCGCCGCCGACAGCGAAACGTGGATGGACAGGCGCCGCGTAGATCCGGCGGAGGCTCCCCAAGGGTGGCCAGGCTTCTGGCTGCGCCCTGCGGCGGGGAGAGCACCCCCTCCCCCCGGGCACGCTTCCAGCCCGGAGTGCTGGGACAGGCGGGCACGCAGCCGCGGGCGGACTGGAGACAGGCCCCAGGGATGAGTGACGAGTGAAGAGTCTGGTTTTGGTTCGGGGTTTTTCGGACATCCTGCCTGGTCCTGCCCTCGAAGCTTGGATGTGTTGGGGTGGGGCCTATCTATCCCCAGAGGTGAGGATGGATGGATGATGGTCAGGGCCTGTGGGCTGTCTGCTCGCCTTTGTCCTCCCGGTTCCCAGAGGCCAGACCCAAACGCACACCAGCTTCCCCAGCCTCACCCTCCCAGGCCTCTGCCCCGCTCCCACCTCCCAGTAGCCTTTTGCATTCCGGATCTCACACACCCGCCCGCCAGGAGGAGGTGAGGGCGAGCTCCTTTCCGTTTTACAGACGGAGCCCTAGAGCTTGCTTGTAAGAAAAAGCCAGAATAACATTCCAATCTTGTCTCCCACCTCCCCTTCCAGGGCTGTTTGCATTGAAACAGTGGTGTTCCCTGGGATCCTGGCTCATGAGCCCCCCTCTAAAAAGGGGTTCCAGGCTGAGTGGGTTTGTCAAAGGTGCTGCCGTCCCCCCTCCCCCCTTGGAGAATCGCTAGCATATCAAGGCTCTGAGAAGTCCTGCTGTAAAACCAGACCATAACAAGTGTTTACTGCCCCTGGGCCTGGGTCAGATTTTTCCACCTAAGGTTCCCTACAGTCTTGGCTTTCGTTTCTTTTTGAAGATTTGGGGTGCTCCCTCTTTCCCAGGGACTTTCTCTATCAGAGGGAGGGCCCAGCCCATGAGGGAAAATAGCTGCTCCCGGACAAGCCAGGGAGAGGCCTGGGAACGGGTGGACTTGGACATTCCTTTACATTGTTTGGGAAATGAAGCCAACGTTATCCAGATAGTTTCCCTGTCAAAAGGAATGACACCTGCCAGAGATCCCGGCTTCGACTGGGACAGTGGTCACACTCACCGACGAGAGGAGAAAGCTCTCGAGCCGGGGCGGGCCGCCAGCCCAGCCTCAGGAAGGTAGGACACTTCTTTGTTTTCTGGAGGGGTCCTAGGCCTTTTGAATAAAAATACAGAACTCCCCTTTTTCTAAAAGTTAAGAGGGTTTTTATTCGGAGAGCACGTTGGAGGGGTGGCATTAATAACAACCACATGTCCAAAGCATTGTGGTAATTCAAACTTTTTGCTAAATCCTTCAAAGGTCTGATCTTTGTGGGGGGAGGGGGACGGATTGCCACTCTCTGGATTAGAAACTAGAATAGGGAGGCCAGAGTGCGTCTTTGTGAGCATGTTTGTAAGGCTTAGGTGGAGAGGTATTAGATTTCTCCGTTGTAGTTGTGAAGATCTGGGTGGTAGGTAGGGCACTTATGTAAGCTTTCCTTGGTCACCATAGCATTTATCTAGCCCTCTGTGAGCCTGGCACTTCTCAAAGCTCTAGATGTATTCATTTCATCCTCTCAACAACCCTATTGAAGAGGGTTCTGTTATCATTTCCTCACTAGAGGCCCAGTGCACAAAATTTGTGCATGGGTAGGGTCCCTATCAGGGTCTCCCTTCCGCCGGTAGCTGGGGCTTCCTTCATTCCATGCTGTCCCCTGGTGGACAGCACACGTCATAGCGAGCGGTTGAACTCCTGAGGGGACACTTTGCATGTTAGGCTTTTATATTTAGAGATAGATTCCATATAAGGATGATGAGTCACAGAGAGATTGAGTAACTTGCCCAGAGTCTCCTAGGTGGAGCTAGGATTTGAACTCTGGCAGTTTGGCCTCTTCACGACCAGGCTTATATATATAGTAAGGAGCCAATACATGTTGGATACTGTTCATACAATTATTTTAAAAATCACTTAAATTGTGATATAATATACATAACAAAATTAACCATTTTTTGAGTGGGCAGTTCTGTGATACTAAGTACATCCACATTGTTGTCAACCTTTACAACCATCCGTATCCGGAACTTCATCTTGTAAAACTCAGCTCTGTTCCTATTCAGATTGGTTATCTTTGTTTTCTGTCTGCTGGGAAGTCCCAGACCACTGAGCCCTTCGGTGTCTCAGTTAGGCTGGCATGCTGCTGCCATGCTCCAGGCAGGCTAACTGGTCCCTCAGCTCCCACCGCTGGTGCCAGCCAGAGCCTGGGGGTGGGCTTGGCTGGGACACTTGGGCGTGCCTCGGAGACCCAGTGACTCTGGTTCTTCTGTTGCAGGTTTTCCGTGTGGCAGGGGCCCTGGAGAGTCCCAGGGATCCTGGCCTGTGTCAGCAAAGGGTTTCCCAGTGGGGGTTGGAAGGACCTCTGCCCGGCAGCTTTCTGTCAACACCATCCAGTGGAAAAACCAAGATGGGGGAAGATTCATTTCGCCTCAACATAAGAGAAATCCTGAGTGCTGTGACGTGGGCACAACATTCCAAACATCTGGAACTGAGCCGTGTGCCTCTGTACCCTAAGAACGGGTTTTGGCTGCAGCTTTTGTTCCTTTTCTCTTTTCTTAGACTACCATCTAAGCTGCATCCTCAGCTCAGATCCAGACCCCTGAGGATGCTTTCTTAGTCTCCCCCCACTCCCCCAGCCCATGGTGCTCTGTGGTCCAGCAGATTTCTCCTTGGCCTTCGTGGTGCCTTATCCACCCAGATGTGCCTGAAACATTTCAATGCTCACTGGCTCTTCAAGATGTGCCTTGTGCTTGGCCTCCCACTGCTTCTCCAGATGTGAGGAGGGTGTGTAATATGGCCCCACATCCTCTCCTCCCCCTTGAGGCTCTGTGCCATAGGAACGGCCACCTGATCTGGCCCAGACTGTTTGGATACTGGAGGCAGTCTCTGGCTTCTCTTTCTCTGGACTCCAGGACTCAATCCAGTCCAAGACCACGGTGGGCTGCTCCCAGCCCGAAGTCTAGGCCCACTTACAGACCCAGGAGAGGATTTTCCAGCGTTCGACAATGATCAAAAGCAAGGGTGGACATGGGGTGGCTGAGGGCTGGTAGGGAGAGGGGACCAATGTGCCTCACTGAAGAGCCCAGTGGTGGTGACTAATATGCTTTTCTGAATAAAGTTCGGTTTGTCTGATCTTGTGTGTGTGTGTGTGTCTTCTCTCCTGGCCCCCAGCAGTAACTCTCTGTGCCAGGCCCGCTCCCTCCCTCCACGGTCTCATACTGCCCTGTTGTCTGCTTTCCTGGGTTCCCTCTCTTGGACAGGAAAGAAAGATGAGTTCACAAATGTTCAGTGCACAGGAACCAAGTGCGTGTGTGTGTGTGTGTGTGTGTGTGTGTGTGCGCGCGTGCGTGTGTGGGTGTGTGTGTGTGCGCGCGCGCGCAGGGCGGACTGCCGTGTCTGTCCCTGACTGAAGCAGAGGGAATGGAATTTTGGGGACTCCTTTCCCAGCTCTCAATAGGCCCTCTGATTGGGAAGCTTCATTGCCCGATGGGTAGACAGAATGACCATGGTTCATGGAGCCAGAAGGATCCTGGTGTTTTTTTTTTGTTTTTTTTTTTTAATATATTTTATTGATTTTGTACAGAGAGGAAGGGAGAGAGATAGAGAGTTAGAAACATCGATGAGAGAGAGTCATCGATCAGCTGCCTCTTGCACACCCCCTACTGGGGATATGCCCGCAACCAAGGTACATGCCCTTGACTGGAATCGAACCCGGGTCCCTTCAGTCCCCAAGCTGACGCTCTATCCATTGAGCTAAACCGGTCCCGGCAGGATTCTGTTGTTTAACCCCCTCATTTTACCCCAGGGGAGATGAACCCCAGGATGGGGTGGCAACGTGGGCCTGAAGTCCCAGAGTTGAGCAGGGGTAGAACAGGGCCTCTTGGAGCCCAGGCTCTGGTTGTTTTGTGCAGAGCCCGGTGCCTGCTCTGGTGCTGGCTCCTGGACACACCCTACCCTCTGCCCCCTGCTTTTCTAGCCACAGCGTGCTGGCTAAGATGCCCTGGAAAGGGAGGGAGGGCAGTTAACAGGCTTCCTGGCTGGCTCTTCCCTCCTGTGCCCTGGGCCTGGAGTCTGCAGCCGGGACACAGGATTCTACTGACAGAGTTCAAAACACACTCAATAGCTCCGGGGTTTGATGCTGTGTGTGCTCCACACCCACTCTTTCAAAGCACCCTCCCAACATACCACACACACACACACACACACACACACACACACACACCCTCCTCTTCGCGGTTTGGGTTTCCAGGGTGGAGGAAAATACCACCCGTTCCAAGGACCCTTTCTTACTCCTTTTTTCTCTCTGCGTCTATTTATGGGTTTCACTCCAGTGGAAAGTGGCCTCCCTCTCTGTAAAGGCTATTTTTTGTCTCGGTGGCATATTTTGCGATTGAAAATGTGCTTCCACTTGCGTTACCTTACGGCTTACACGATCTTGTCAGCAGCCTTGGAAAGTGGCACCCATTCAGGAGGGAAAATGGAGCCCCGAGGGGAGCAGGGCCTTACCCATGGCCACACAAGCAGTGGCAGGACAAGGGCTGGGAGGGAGAGGTCTCACCTTCAGCTGCCGGTGGCTAAGCCCCGCGGTGGTCCTCTGGCAGGCGCTGGCATTCAGGTGGAGTTTGTTTTTCCCACCTGGAGGGCAGGTGTTCAGGAGTGGTTAGTCTGACACTTCCTGCTGGATGCTGGGCACACTGAAACAGGATACTACTCAGGGACATCACTGAGCTCATTGGAGTCTGAGCAATACAAGGGATTTGCTCACTTATGTCTTTTCCTTTGCCTGCTTTTCTAGGGATGGGAGTGGGACCACTGATGGTGAGGAAGGAGGGTTAAAACATTAGTATTTTCAGGGAAATAAAGAAAGAGCAGGGATATAAGAGAGGAAGGTCTGGTTAACCCTATGGGTTTTTTTTTTTTTTTAATCGTTTTGTTTGTTATGGAAGTTATGTGCAAAATAAATACCAGCATCTATAGATAGTATAATATCATAGCAATATATACCCACTAAAAAGTGAAACTGCTCAGAAGCATACAAAGTAAAAAGAGAAGACACTTGATCATCCTAATCTCATGCCCTGGAGAAAAACCACTGTTAACTATTAGCTCTCCTTCGTTAATTTTTATACTAATCAAGTGCACACACATGTCCCTATGTATATCCAGATTCTTCCACCGTTTTCTCTTATGACAATAGCATAGTTCTAACCCTTTGGATATGTTTGATAAATACCATAATATGCTTTACCCTTTCTAAATGTCAGTATGAACAGTCAGGGATTGTAGGGATCTTGTGGCCTTTCTGGACCCATTCTAACTTTCTCACCTTGGTTAACTTTACTTCCTTGGCTGCTTCCCTTAGGAATCATCGTTAAACCCTTACACTGAGAGTCCTTTTATACCAACGAGGCCATAGAGGCTTTGGAGGTGCTGTGGCCTGCCCAGGCCGGTGCTCCTTGTACCCCACACAGCCAAGAGCAGTGAGGGAGGGAGGGAGCATGGGCAGCAGAAGGGTGTGGACCTCACCAGCCTGTGGAAATGGCAGTCTGGCTCCTCATCTGAAAGCCCCTTTGTTCACCCTGTTCCAGGATCCTTCCTTTGAACTAGGTGGCTGTTTGGGATCTTGCAGGCACCAAGGCTGAGACGTTCCCCAGCACCGAGGTGAGGGAAGGCAAGTCCCTCTGGCTTTACACCTGCCTCTCCCTCCCTAGGGTGGGATGCGGGTTCTCCTTACCGCTATCCTCCAAAAGGCCGGGAAGCACTTCTGAATCCAGGCTGGGAAGAGGGGAGAAAGGGAACTCACTTCATGAAGTGCCTGCCGTGAGCCAAGAACAGGATGAATACCGCATGTAACATCTCTGATCACCCACATGAGCCCCTGAAGGATTAAACGCCCCTATTTAACAGACGGGGAGACAGGCCTGGGCAGGTGATGTGCGCAGGGCACCACGTGACAGAAACAAGATGCCAACTTGGGGCTGTTGCCACAACACGCTGTTTCTGAAGATTTCCCAGCAGATGCACATTTCTCCCAACTATCCAAAGTCTCCGCCCAGACCCACGCTGGGCTTTGTGAGCGCTCTGTCGTGAGCTAAGGCAGGAAGGGAAGGCTGTGGAGAAAGTTATTGCAAATCCGAAATACATCAGCTTCTTTCTTCCCAGTGTACAGCGAAATCGGATAGTTACCTTTATGCTTAATCAGCTCACTGTGCTGAGGTCATTCTCCCAGTCCCTGGAGACAGTCCCCCTTCTGTCCGCCAGATGTGAGAAGGCCTGCAAGACTGCCCCTCCTCCCAACACTCCTCCTGCTCAAGGCCCGGAGCCAGAGATATGGATACCTAACGGCTCAGCCTGTCCTGTCCTGTCTCTTAAAAAAAAAAAAAATTAAAAAAAATATATATTTTATTGATTTTAAAAAAATATATTTTTTTATTATTTTTTTACAGAGAGGAAGGGAGAGGGATAGAGAGTTAGAAACATCCAAGATACATGCCCTTGACTGGAATCAAACCTGGGACCCCTCAGTCCGCAGGCAATGCTCTATCCACTGAGCCAAACCAGTCAGGGCTATTTTATTGATTTTTTTATAGAGAGGAGAAAGATAGAGAGCCAGAAACATCAATGAGAGAGAAACATCAACCAGCTGCCTCCTGCACACCCCCACTTGGGATGTGCCCGCAACCAGTGTACATGCCCTTGACCGAAATCGAACCTGGGTCCTTTCAGTCCGCAGACCGACCCTCCATCCACTGAGCCAAACTGGTTTAGGCTCTGCTGTCTATTTCTGTGTCCCCTAGGAAGTTCACGTGACTGGCCCTCATGGCTGGGTGAGCTCACCCTGTGAGGTCAGAGGTGAGCCTCAATCTCTCACTAGTTGTCTGGCGTTGGGCAGTTCTCTGAAGCTCTATGTGTCTCAGCTTCATCACCCACCAAATGGGGAGAATGCTGGTACCTGCCTCACGGGCTGCTGAAATTGCTGATGAGGCTGTGCACTCAGAGCAGAGTGTCTGGGAGGTGTCAGTGCTGTCCAGCTCTCGGCAGCACAAGGCTGTTGGGAGGCCTTCGTAAGACAGTGTTTGTAAGACGCGGGGCCTGAGTTACAGCAAGTGCTCATACTTGTTCATTCCTTTTCCCCCTGGCTCTCTCCCCACCTGGGGAATGACAATCTCACCCTGGACTGATCCCTCTGCTGTTCTTTCTTGTATTTGGATTTGAGCTTCCCTGAATAGATGGCACAGAAGCGTTCAAGATTATTGTTACCTTCCTGTAGGTCGAACCTTCTTTTCTGTAGAACCCAAGACTCCAAGGTCCTTCTTTAGCCTCCTTTTATTCCTTCTGCAGTCCCCGGACTGTACCTGCTTTCAGCCTGGGAGAGCCCACTGGTCATCTTGTTTCCATGGTTCCTGTCCATCTGGAGAGATGAACTGACCGCAAGTTCTCAGATGTCAGAAGTGGATGTTCACAGACTCCCCTCATTACGTGTTTGCAGGATCTTCCATGACTGCATTCAGACTACAGTTTGTCCAGGCACAGGGGGCACTTACAGGAACAGGTGTGTGCTTGGCTCCCCTAACCGCTGCATATATGGGCATTTCACAACATGTCTTTCCTCACTGCCCTGGTGAACTGTGCTGTAGGTCACCTTTTCCTCCCAGCTGTCCCTTAGGAGTGGGGGAGCTTACTGGGTTTGGCTTTTCTTTTTAACTTAAATTCTTTATTGCATTTATGTATTTAAAGTATTACATAAGTCCCCTTTTCCCCCCATTGACCTCTCCCTGGTTGCTCCCATCCTCCAGCACATGCCCTCACCCCCTCCTGTCTGTGTCCATTGGTTATGCTCAGAGGCATGCACATAAGTCCTCTGGTTGATCTCTTACCCCCCAACCCCCGACCCTCTTAGACTGAATGGTCTATTTGATGCTTCTGGCTCTATTTTTTGTTCGTCTGTTTATGCTGCTCATGATATTCCACAAATGAGTGAGATCATGTGATTGTTATTTTTCACTGACTGGCTTATTTCACTTAGCATAATGCTCTCCTGGTCCATCCATGCTGCTGCAAATGGTAAGAGTTCCTTCTTTTTTTTTTACAGCACCATAGTATTCCATTGTGTAGATGTACCACAGTTTTCT